TTTTTTATATTTTTGAGAAATGTCTCTGCACATAGATGGCTCTGCTAGTGCTTAGCCACAAAGGAATCAATTAGTAGACCTTGTGACATTACCTAATTTCACCTTTCCTTGAATTGGCAGGAAAAACATTTTTTACCAATACTATGAATATTGATCATGTTATTTTTGTCATAGACATTATAATTATGATAATGTTATAAGCATCATAAGTATCAGCAAAATGAGATGACGTAAAATATTTTCGTAAATCAAGGAAAAGAGTAAATAGGCGAGACAGGCAGTACGCATAATTGGCTCTTTTGTTTCATAGTACAAGTGTAACCATCTATGTGTAAAAACAATTAACCCACTCGCAACGGGTCCTTCGGAGTGCCATACAGGTGACAAATATAGCAGCAAGTGGCTGCAGCTGGGGACCCCCCGCAGGCGACCAAACCAGAGTGTTAGCTCTGGTTTTACGCTCCATTTTATAGCCTTGGGAATATATTGAATGTTATGCTGTTTAGAACTGAACACAATGTTTTGTATGCTTGTAAAGCTAAAATGCTATCTCATTTGTAATGGTTAGAAGTTTTAGTATAGAGTCCAAACTCTCATATAATGCCATGTGCGTTACTCTCAGTAACTTATTTGCCAACATATCATGAGGGAAAATCAGAGATTTTTTTAAAAATGAGAAATTTATTTTTTGGGTTCAGCACTTTTTTACAAGGCAGCATGCCACTCCTCAGAACAATTATTTGTACAAAGTCCAATGTTGCAGTCAGTGCAGTAACTTCTGCTGCTATGTCAGTACCCCTGGCTTGAACAAACTCTGCAGCATCGTCTCCTTCCCTCAGGAATCTCCGACACTACGTTTCAGCGATCATGAAACACTTGCCTCACTGCCTGAGATGGACTTGGTAAGGCCCTGCTCCTTGTAGAGTTGGTCCCTTCCCTGAACTGCCCCAAGAGTTCAGAGGCAAGGCCAACTCGGAAGGCCTTCTGTGATTCCTCTGATCCCAGGGCACAGTGGACAGTCCAAGCATTGACAATGGCCATGACATAAATTGTTACCATGTCATTGGTGCAGTGAGTCATTAGATAATAACTGGCCATTTGATCACCAGCATCAACACATTTCATCCTGTCTTGCTGCTGCGGTAATCGACATCGCCATTCCTCCTCACTACGAGGTCCTTGGGCAGACGGGCTGTGTCTACCGCATTAGTCCTGTGTGACTGCAGCACATGAAAAAGAGTTGGCGATGTATACAAATTATCCACTTATAATTGGTATCCTTTACCAAGGAAGCTGCCAAACTTCATCAAGTGCAGCACCGCCTTTGTGGACGAAGGTATGTCACCACAGTCCTTCCCGGTGTACACCTCAAAGCAAGAGGTGTACCCTGGAGCCAGGCCAGTACTGGCACAAAGCTTATAGATCTACAACCCGAACCTCGCTCTCTTGGTTGGGTTGTAGGTCTTGAAGCCTAGCCACTCATGGAACTTCCAACTTGTTTATGTCCTGCCCTGGAACGATCAGAACGCATTATTGAGGGAATCCATGACTGGAATATAAAGTAGCATGCTTTTCATTTATTGAATAAGTGTTTTAGAAAAGATGGTCACTCTATTAGTTTGATTAGCCATTGCTAAATGGTGCAGCTACAAAACCATTTAGAAATGTGCCAGCAACTTTTATTTGATACAGCTGTCATACATAGATTCTTAAAGCATGAAGCATTTTCAAGTTTCAAGAAATATAATAGATGATACTTGCTGTGTTGAAAGAAGGGGGAAATACCACCTCACCTCCATAGATGTTGCCATTTGATAAACAAACAATATCAGGAAATTACATTTGAGAAATATCACACCACAAAGTCTATGTTTTGTTATCACATATTTGAAGATGAAAGATGAAATGACTTATAAGGTTTCCAAAAATACTAATACACTTGTTGATTATTTATTTTATACCAATCACACTCTTCCTTACAAACAACCTAGAGTTTTTGCCTCATTTGTGAAAATCTTATTGACTCAATGTTTACATCAAAGTGGCTGCCAGATGTACAGTGGGATCTGAAATATAATTCTGCAACTATATACACACACATACATACATACTTATGTACATACATACATTCGTACATACATACTTATGTACATACATACATTCATACATACATACATACATTCATACATACATACTTACATACATACATATATACATACATATATACATACATATATACATATATACATACATACATACATACATACATATATTAACATAAATACACACACACACACACACACACACGTATGTATATATGTGTGTGTGTGTGTGTGTGTGTGTATGTATGTGTGTGTGTGTGTACATGTATACATATCTATGTACATGTATAAATATGTACACATATTCATATATTTGTAAATATATATTTACATATATATATATTATATATAATATTTCAGTAAAAAGAAATGAGAAAAATTCCTTGGGTTTGTTTCAGTCCAAAACATCAGATCAGCTACGTAATGAAAAGCGAACACTGATTGATGCCCAGTCAGTATTTGCACGCCTAAAACACAAGAAGATCTCCCCATCATCCAAGAAGGCCTATGCCCGCCAGTCTATAACAGGCATCATCACCCAATCCCAGAAGAACTTTAGCAACTTCAAGAACTCTGGTGCTACCCAAAATCTGGGCATAATTCCTAAAAAGGTTTGCTCAGGGATGTCTTCCAGTCACTTGCCACAGGAGGACGAAGGCAACAGGGAAGGTGTGGATCCTCAAACCACATCTTCCACTCATGAAGGCAAACAAGAATGCAGTACTTCTCCCCAATCCAACAACATGACACTGGAAACATCACCTTCCAATAATGTGCTCGATTCTGCAACAAACCAAAGCAGGGCCAGTCAGAGTTGTAGTGGCATAGGAGTGAATCTTGGCAGCCAAAATACGCTAAGTAGCCTCGTTGGGTATGACAGCAGTACGAGTGATAGTGAATAATTTAATCAACTTTGTTGAGCCTGTACTCTTATTAAGGTTTTAAAAAAATGTGATATTGATATATAATGCAAATTTTGAGTTGTTTAAATTAAACAATATTGTACATATTTTCTTCTGTGGCATGTACATTGTTATTAAAGAAAACATGATCTATTACTTTAGAAATACAGTAGAGCTTATATAAAGTGAATCTGACAAAGGTTATCATTCATTTATCCTTAAAAAAAAAAAAAAAAACTCAACAGGAGGTTGTGAAGTTATGCAAAGGTTTTACAATAATGGCTTTTTTAATTACTTTTTGATCTTTGCTGACTGGCATAGGAAGTGATCATTGCTTTGCTGCCCCTTATTATTATTATAAATAGTATTATTTCTTTTTTTCTCTCTTTCTTTCTTTCTTTCCTTCTTTCCTTCATTCCTAGAATAATGAGATTATGGTGGGTCATTCTGGGATGATACAACAGTCTAATAAATAATGTTCATTGGTGTTTGCAGTTCAATCTAGATTTTGTTTTCTTTTCTTTTCTTAAGTGGAATCCACTCACAATGATTGTTTCCATGTATTTATTGCATTGTGTGTATAAAAAACATTTATAATTCCTTTACTTGATGTATTTTTCATACATTATTGCATATTTTTTCATGGCTCTCAGGTGACAGTATCTGCAGAGTGCCTGTCTAGTTTAAGTGACCTTTATTTCTCATGGTGCTTTCACTATTAAATCTTGATATTAGATATCACTCATTAATCTCTTTCTTACAAAAGTCTGGAATAAGGTTAGACATGAAAAAGAAAAAGGTCTGAAGGCATAATTTTATTTCATTTACACCTGTATCACAGATATATATGCACCCACACACAAGTATATGTAAATAGAATCAGAATACAGTATTTTGCAGAAAAAAAACACTTCAAATATACATAGTTCAATTCATACAAACAATTTTCCATGCAAAGGGTTGATATTTGACAAGAAGAAAATATATTGATGTTTTTTTGTTCATTATTTCTAAAAGGTTAGACCCTTGCATTCAATACAAAATATACATATGAATATTTAATTAAACGAGGCCTTTATGTCTTACTGACATCTATTTGACATTAATGATACACTTTATTGGATGTAATCAGTGATCAAAATAAATGAATAATGAATACGAGAACTTAAAACTATTAACATAAATTTTAGTTATATCTACCTTTATTAAACTTTAAATTGTTACAAAAAGGAAATCACTATAAGCTACTAATGGTCTGCAACAGGCTTAAACAAAAATGGAAATAATTACTTTACTCAATCAAATAGATATGATATGAGATTTTAAAATTGACATAAGACAATGCAACTTTTGCTCTGTTTGCAGCACTTGAAACATTTCCAAACTAAAATACTGGATCAATAGCCAAAAGGGAAGTCTCAAGGAAGCAATGGAACTTATATTCCAGATAACAGATGGAGCCACAACTCTAGGTGGTCTCAGGACTCTTGAAAACAGCAAGCGTGACTCCATTGCTTCGGTGAATCAGGCACTGGCTGGTGGATGAAAAAGAAAGGATATCACCATCATCCTTTAATATATACTTAGCATGTAGTTTGCAGTATGAATTAAAAAATCAAATGTATAAAGAATTTTAAAAGATTGAAAATAAAAATGACAATCTCAAGTCAAAATTACTTTTAAAGATTTAAGTAAATTTATTTAAACATCAAAGTTTCCTTTTTACCCTTTTTAATCTTTAAACATATTATGTATTATCTTCAAAAGTAATTTTATTTTGTTAACTTTTATTTGTTAAAATTGGGTCTTGTTCTTTAACCTCTTATAGCCGGGCATACCTACAGCCATCATGAAAAACCAACTCATCATGACAGGTATAGCTATAGGTGTTACAACTCACTAAAATGAATTGAGTGATGCCCAGAGATTTCTGGAACTGTTATTGTAGGGTTAAATATATGCATAAATACATGCCAGTTTCACCTCAGTGACCAGCAACACATGTGTTCACTCACACACAAGGAAGGTTAACCCAATGGCGCCGGGTGTACAAAAGAAAAAAAAACTCTACGCTTAAACAAACAAAGGCGGCGCGCCGACTTTGAACGCGTGAGTAGGGGACATCAGCCTGAATCACTGGCTCGCCGCGCTTTGGCGCGCCGCCGGCTCGTTTGGCTGCACGCCAGCTTTCAAGCTCTGTTTACACGCCGATCGGCGTCACCCGGCACCAAGGGGTTAAAGGAAACAAGGATAAATGTCATGTAGTTCTACACAGTCTTTCTTACACTCCATCCCATCACACAAGACCTATTTACATATAATGACACCTTGCACTCCCTTGTGGCCCAGCAGCACTTAAAATAATGCCACAAAAAATGTCTTTATACAAATGGGAATTAGTATAGGGGGCCCCTGTGCTCCCCAGTAGCTATGCCACTGTACCAAAGCTGTTGTTAAACCTTGTTCATACCAAACCAATTACCCTTAGGTAATTTGCTCCACGGCTGTCCAACAAGGCCAAAGAGACATCCACTGTTGTGAGAGATCCATACATGCTGGCTGATATCATGTCAGCTATATTGGGTTTTCACACTGTCACACAATGGATTAGTTAACAATAGCCCTCCTTCAAAAATCTCCTTACAAACAGTGGTCACTCACAACATACACTACCTGCACCAACACAAAATCAATCATACAACTCCAATCAGTCCTTACACCAGACCGCCATCTCTATTTTTTCAGTTCTAGGTCCCACTGTACTAGGATTTCCCTCGACTCTTGGGCCTCTCACTCATTTCATATCCTCCTCCACTTCTATCTCCTCTTCCTATTTCTCCTCCTCCTCTAGTTATCTGCCAAGAGGAGGACTGCAATCTCTATTTTTCAGTTCCAAGTCCCACTGTCCTAGGATTTCCCTTGATTCTTGGACCTCTCACTCATTCCATATCCTCCTCCACTTCTATCTCCTCTTCCTTGCTATCCCTCTTCTTATTCCTATCCCATTCCTCCTCCTTACCTTAACATCCCTCTTCTTCCTATCCCTCTTCTTCATATCTCTCCTCCTCTTCCACTTCCTCTTATCCCTCTCCCTCTTCCTATTCCTTCTCCTTTCACCTGCTTCTCCCCTTCCTTTAGCATGACCGTCAAACAGATGATCTGCCCAACCAACATATACTACTAATATAACTAATATATGGGCATGGCATGTACATATATGCTATGGCCACTGTGAGTTTACTCGTTTAATTGTTTTTACACTTGTACTAAGTCACCAGTGAGCCAGTTATGAGTACTGCCTCTCTTGCCCATTCACTCTCTTCATTAATTTACAAAAACATTTTACATTATCTTATTTTGCTGTTACAAACGTTTATAACATTATAGTAATTATAATGCTTATAATAAAAATAACAACATCGATATTTATAGCACTAGTAACAAATACATTTTTCCCGCTAACTTAAGGAAAGGTGAAATCAAGTCTCAAGATCTACTAATTGACTCCTTTGTGGTTAAGCACTAGCAGAGCCATCTATGTACAGAGACATTTCACAAAAATATAAAAAATGAGCACAGCATTTTCCCATTTCTTATTTATTTTCCCCGGCAGCAATGGGTTAACCCATTGCCGCCAGGGAAAATGAACAAAAAATGGGGGAAATGCAGTACTCATTTTTTATATTTTTGTGAAATATCTCTGTCCATAGATGGCTCTGCTAGTCCTGATTTCACCTTTCCGTGAATTGGCGGGAAAAAACGTATTCTTACTAGTGCTATAAATATAGATGGTGTTATTTTTAACAGCAAATTAGGATAAAGTTAAATATTTTCATAAATCGATGAAAAGGGTGAACGGGCGAGACAGGCAGTACTCGTAATTGGCTCATTGGTGACTTAGTACAAGTGTAGCCATCTATGTGTAAAAACAATCAAACAAGTCGACTCACAGTGGGCATGGCATATACGTACATGCCATCCCCAGCGGCAATGGGTTAATATGCAGACAGCATGACCCCCCACAAAAAGGCTCCAACTACACACCTTCACTGATATCAAAAATACTCATCTAATACTCACTAATCTAAGATACCAATCTCACAGCACTCATCACCACCACACAAACAGGCTTCAACTACACATAATACACCTCAATGGCTTCAGCAGCCCACAAGCTATCCCAGAACTATATGATAGTGACACTGATCTCATACCAACCAGACACAGACAAAAACACTATTTTAGAGCAATCATAGAAGCAATTATAGCACATTACAAATGTGCAAGAGACCATCTATTGCTAAAAGCAAAAAATGTTAATGCATACTACATAAACACATCATAACCATATCCCTTCAGACTAAAAATGTTTTTTTGTCCCAAATGATCATGTGAAACAAAATTAACCATGACTCATCATCCCACTGCCAAACAGTTAGACACACAAGACACAAAACAAGTTGATGCTAAATTGCTTGACTTTGCCAATACTTTTGACAAGTGTCCCCATAGAGGGACTACATAGGACACATAGGACCCAGCATATCCTACTTGATGCTGTTTCTGCTGCCACTATTTCTTTTGGGGTTCACAATCACCGTTCTCAGGCTACTACTTTTCCTGTTGCACATCAATGATCCCCCACTATGTACACCCAAGACTTCTGCTAGACTTTTATCTGATGATAGTCTTTTATTTTGCCCCATTAATATCGACATTTTCAATAGATGCCACTGAACAGTTGGAAAAGACTTGGTAAATGACACTTACAATAGACAAATATAGGGTACTCCAATTCACCAGGCTAAAAAATACCAGTCGAAGATACCTACATATTACATAGCCAATATCAACATTTCATAAATACCCTAAGCTAGACACACTAAACTTCAACACAAACACTGACTGCATCATAGACAAAACCAACAGAGAACTTGGGGAGAACTTTTAAAGAGAAACACCACTGCACACCAGAAATCACACATAACGTACAATACATTTGTACAACCAACAATAAAGCACTGTCAACCTATACAGGACCCCTACACCAATCACAACATAGACAAGCTTGAGTAGGTCAATTCTAGAAAGCCAGATTCATTACTCACAATTACATGCACACCTGGCATTAAATCATACATAGACAAGCCCGCAGACACAATTATTTACATTAATACAAACCTCTTCATAGTCATTAACACGTAACACATGAATCTCACCCCACATCAAATTTCCAACATACCAGACCATGACTGACTCCTACAAGCATTCATTCTTCCCACACACCTTGTGTAGCTGGAACAGGCAACCACAGCACCTCATAGAAACAGAAACTGTGTAAACAATGTAAACAAGCACCTCACTAACCCAATATTTACACGTTCACTTACGCAATAATCCTCCCCTACATCCCTAGCAATCAATTTTACTTTACATGTGCTGATGAGCACCCTACACAAAAACTGAGATCTGAGATTAAGGAATGTTACCATACATGGAGGGCCCATCTAGGAAAGTATGTCATACCTTTTTAAAATTTATTTTAAAATCTGTACCTAATAGACAAAGTTTACAAAACAACTCATTCATGTTTTAAACATTATACAATTTTCATAAAATCATATTATGTTATGACATTATGTATATATCTCAGAATCTTGTTGCCACTTGATTGTCAATAAATTACAATAAATTTGATTCTGACACTTACCTAGTGTCTGACTCAAGAAGCACAACTGGCTGTGGGCTTCCTGGTTCCAGCATGGCTGCCTTCTCTGCAACAGCTGAAACCACTCCCGAGGAAGATGCAGAGGCCTTCCCTCGAACTGCAAGGAAAAAATACAAAATCACTTTGTTTCTGCAATTCTAAATTTACAATGATTAATATCTAAATCTAATCTAAAATAAGATTTCTATTATGCAGCTACATATTTGATTATATCATGTTGAATGATTATTCACTCCATATGGTAATAAAAATGTTCACACAAAAATTTTAATTGTTAAAATCCATATCTGACTGACTTATGTTGAAAAATCCAGATCTAATGCCTGATCTCACAATCTTACCACCCAGACATAGTCCTTGGTTATCTGAACACAACACCCCAGAGACCCCTGGGCTGTGCGAGCTGTGAAAAAAAAAAATAGAACAATTTTTTAATCCATTCCAATGACTGCACTAAAATATATACATTTTTTTTCTGTATATCATGAAAAGCTATATTCTCTTTATTGGCACCCAATAATGCCAAGAGTGCATGTATACATGTTAAGAATACATCATAACAACAATACTGACCAAATCAAACTATATGCAAAGGTGAAGGTAAGCCCACAGTTGTTCATCAATGTCTTTGGGACTCCATCCAAAGAACAACAAACCTCCAAAATATACTGTGTATCCTGGTAAGAGCCTGCAGTCCACCTTCGTGATTTGTCATCACTGTTAAAGATTATCTGGCCGAGTGTGTACCATGGGGTCTGTTGGTCTTTTATTTGACCTCCAAAGGTGCTGAAGCCATGGGACTTCATCTTGGGTGGATGCAGGCTAGGTTCAAGCACTAATTGTAAATCCTGATGAGACACCTTATCTTGCTGTGACCTGTGACTGATGGCACAACTCTTATGCTTTCCACTCAAGCAATGGCTAAGAAAGTCTCACCATGTATAATCTGACAAGACTGAACTTGGATTGGTTTACCAAACTTTAATTTGCCTAGAATATACATGGTGGAGGTTTGTTAGCTCTTGTGAGAACACCATGAGCGAGGCATACGTGAATTTTCTAAACATTTACCACTAACTTGGCAATTTAGAATGAGTCCACATCTTAAGGAACAACTGATGGCAACTGACATAAAATATTAACCAGGAGGCATGGAATGAAGAGGGTCAATTTTCATTTCGCACACCTATCAATTCATGTCAAATCGTCGCCTCCAAAAAGTTAATCATGTTGATGATTATCAAACTGTTTTGATGGTTTTGATCTTTGAGCTTCCATATGCCATAATACAAGATGGAAACCCCATGTTGTGCATCACAACAATGATGCACATTCACAGCTAGTAACTCAAAAGGAAATTGCTGAATTATTAGAGCAACACAGGAGTAGTTATAGTGAAGGTGAAATGTATAAAGCAAATGAGAGGGAGTATGAAACAGGTAAGAGTGAGAGATGTAGAAAATAAAACTAAAAATTTTAGAAGTGGATATTTTTAACAGTATAAATAGGCCAATGTAAAGTACATAGTACATAACAGTAGGCTTACTAGTAAAGATTTATAATATTTAGGACATTTGTCTCTCTAGCAAATTATAGAAATAATATATACAGTCAATAGGTAAGTGACCAAGGGTGTTTGAGACCAACCATGGTGATTGTTCATATACATAAACATAAACATATCATCTGCTATATTGCGAGGCTTATGATACTCGAATATGGAATGGATACAAAAGAAAATAACTGTTTATATCTTATTTTGAATGTCAGTCCTGAGTACAAATGTAACAAAAAGACTTTGTAGCTTTTAGGGGTTAAAAGCTATCAAATTTAGTATCAATGCCTCCTAACTAAACATTGTCGATATAGTTGGCTGAATCAATAAATATGCACAATATGAATGCCCAAATTAATCTTAATTAAGCACAGTAATTCAAGAATGAGTGCATGATGTTTACCTCCACCTCAGCTGTCATGGTGTCACTCACAAGGCACTTGGATCTGACCACCTGTCAGATGTGGTGCGTATCTTACGTTCCAGGTAGACCCTAACACTGACAAGAAATGCCTTATAAAGCAATCGTCCCATTTCCTGCTCATACCTCATGCCCCTCCCCCCCATTGGGTCTGTTGCCTAATCAAACCACTGGTCCTGAAAATTACTAGACCACACTGAAAACTGAAAATATTTGCAATAGGCTTTATAATCACTATTGAAAGAATGAATTCGATTGTACACATGACTCTGATTATATACATATACAATCATCGGTAATAAGAGTAATGGCTTTTCAAAAAGAAGTCTTTTCAAACTAAAATAATAGACACGAAAAATATATCTAACTAAACAAATCATATTACAATACAAAAAATCTATATACTAACACTTCGTCGAGGCACTTTTCCAACCCCTTTTCCATGGCGAAGAAACAATGTTCAGGTCGTTCCCTTGGAGGTAAATCTTAAGGAACCTCCTTCTCGCATCCGCTGCTCGGAGGAGGGACGGCGCACCAATAACAAGAGGGGGCGTGTGTGCAAAGCGGCAGGTCCTAGATACGTACAGTCGTGTGTATATAAGCATGATTGCTTATATATATCTACGCATGTGTGTGTGTGTGTGTTTACATAATTTTATAAATACATATATATGTGTGTGTGTGTGTGTGTGTGTGTGTGTGTGTGTGTGTGTGTGTGTGTGTGTGTGTGTGTGTGTGTGTGTGTGTGTGTGTGTGTGGTGTGTGTGTGTACATACATATAAATGAATATATATATATATATATATATATATATATATATATATATATATATATATATGTATAAGTATATATATATATATATATATATATATATATATATATATATATATATATATATAGGCATAGAGAGAGAGAGAGAGAGAGAGAGAGAGAGAGAGAGAGAGAGAGAGAGAGAGAGAGAGAGAGAGAGAGAGAGAGTTAGAGAGAGAGTAACACACACACACAGACACACACATACACACACACACACACACACACACACAGAGAGAGAGAGAGAGAGAGAGAGAGAGAGAGAGAGAGAGAGAGAGAGAGAGAGAGAGAGAGAGAGAGAGAGAGAGAGAGAGAGAGAGAGCTCCCCATTTCACACACACTTCGGCACCACACATGTAGTAAATTTATGTACCGGTGCATCTTTCTGACAAGACAGAAAACAATAATTTTACGATATACTTTATTAAAGGCATTGTTCATGTCTATGAAACCAGCATATTCTATTATACAGGGAAGTGAAGTGTCTAAGGATTCATTATAGTTAATGTAATACCGAATTCACTTTTATATGCGAACTGGTGTTGAGGCGTATTCATACATGCCCAACACGTCTTTGGTAGTACATATTTCTAAACCTCCAGTATCACAAAAGTCAATGCTTTGCAGTAATTACTCAGCATAGATATGTCTTTGTTCCTACTTTTCAGTACTGGAACAACAATAGTTTTAGATGTAATTATCTGGCACGACTAATGATTCAAACATGACGTAAATAACAGACTGAGCAGGACATGTTGGTTGGGCGTGCACTGTACGTTGTGGTGACAGCCGTCACGACCTGGACTGCTCGACCAGTTGGTGAGCGTGACGGTTGCGCTGTGTCGTTCACGATGACTGAGACGCATTGGCGTGGTCTTTCACCACTGTGAAATCATGAACAATGTACTATAAAGTGATCTCCTCAACTATGTGATCAGTGCCAGTCATACAAGTCTGTGTCAGGCACCACCACGTGATTCGTGTACCGTGGCATCACTCGCATATGTGTAAGTTTTACCCGGCATCATCACTTCCCCTCCCATACTGTAAGAAAATTGTCTGGAGAACTGCTGTAGCTCCTGTGCAAACAAGGATCCCGGACGAGAATTGAAATCGTTGTGTTCTTGTCATGGAGATTCATTAAAATGTGTATTTTGGCTAAATAGTCTATAGAGGAAGTCCAATTCATATAATTTATATTAATGACTTGCCTGCAGTGAGCTGTTCCCTGTAGTCCAAAGGAGAACATGCATAAGATGAATAGGTTTCGATAAAGAATTGAAGAAAGATGACTCCTGCGCTGGGAGCCATATTTCCTGAAGGCATACAGCATAATGATTGTTAAAGTTCTTTTACATGAGAGTCGTTTAATCTAGATGACGTGGTATTGTTTATTGTCGTACCGCCTCCTCACAAGCAAAGCCCTATCCTAGTATCAGGATTATGCAAGTCTTTGATTCTACCCGTCTGATGCCCTTGCACAGCCTGCAAGAAGGGTTGTGTAGAACGACCTGTTGGCGCTCCACTACCCCCACGCCGGCTGCCTCCTTCACAGGGTTTAGCAGACTCTCTACCGGGACATCGGACAGCATGCGGGATACACACAGTGCCACGTTCCTCAGCGCTGGTGCCACACACAACCGGCATTCGATCCACACCCTATAACTGCAGGAGGGGCGCTGCTGGTCTCATGAAGTCGCGTCGGCGTTGATCCGGGTCGCGGCGATTCGGTGTCTCTCCGCCGCCTCTGGCGAGCCTTCCTCGGTGGTGACGTCGCTCAACCACTCCGCAGAGGATGAATGGCTGTCTGAAGGCTTTTCATCCACATGAAGTCTTCCCGTCTACTCGATTACCCACAGCTTGATATTCCCCTGGAATGTTGCCTCCATTCCTCGTGGCGGTTCCTTCCCGGTTATCACACTTCGACCGCGCCGCATCCGCTTATTCAGTTGGCGGGGCGAGATTTAGTGATTAAAATTAGCTGTGTGAGACAGTTAGGAGTTGATTGCAAAGAGCACGTGATCTGATTTTAGGCGTCTGAGTATTTTTTGTCTCAGGCTTGTGTTCCTGGCTGCCTGGATGACCTTTGAAAGGAACTCTGCTGCCATTTGATCAATTCGTGAGTCCAGGGGGAGAAGATTTGCCTCCATGAGGAGGTTGAGGACCTTCGTCCACCTTGGGGCACCCAGAATGATCCTGGCAGCTTTTGGACTGTCTCTAATTTTTCTCTTAATTTTGGCTTTGTGACAGTCAGGGCGACAGAAGCATAGTTCACAATGGGACGGGCAACATGTAAATAGAATTATCTTAGTACTTTATGTCTAGCTCCTATGTGTCTCCCAATCATTGGTCTCATGTCAGACAGTCTTGTTTTGGCTCAGTCAACCAGGCACTGGACCACCTTATGAAAGGACACTCCTTTCATAAGGAGGCCAATCTTTACCCCAAGGTATAGGAAATCTTGGACCCACTCTAAAGCCATTCCCTGGATTCTCAGACTTATGCCTTGAACATTGTGTCTTAGAGTCCCTTTTCCTGCCTGACTCTCTTGGCAGTTTCCTTGGCATCCCTGACAGCTTCCCTTAGGAGGGCTAAGTTGTCAGGGGTTCTTTGCCTTCGGAGTTGTTTTCTGCACATGCTCACTCTATGGTTGACCTCATTAATCTCGTCATTGAAGTACCAGGCATCTTTGTAACTGCTTGATTTATGGTATTGATAAGTCTGGCTTCAAACACTTCCACGTTTTCACTCTGTGGGGTTAATTGCATCTAAGACAGTAGGCCAAGGCATTCTGATATGCTTGTCAGTTGGCCTTGTTTGATCTCCATCTTGGATTTGGTTGTGGCATTTGGGCTGGGCCAGCATCCATGAGGGTAGTAACAGTGTCATAGTGGTCACTTGTCTCATCGACACACCATCTGATTCTCTCCACCAGAGCCGCAGTGGCCAAGTTGAGGTCTAGGACCCCGCCTCTGACATGCGTTGGGTCTTGGGTATTGAGAAGAGCGATTTCGGGGAATGTCTCAAGCACATTGACTATGGGATAGCCTGCCGCATCCGGTGCCTTGCAGAAATGGGGTGGTGTACATTGAAGTCTCCCCTGTGATCACTCGATCTTGTGATGCAGTAGCACAGACCTGGCTGGTGTCTAAGCTCCTACTGAATGGCCTGCTGTACATATTGTACAGGTTGAAGGGGCCCCCCGCCAGGTGAATCTCAACAACAAGAGATATAACATCGTCTCCACTGTGCGGTGCATCGGCCATTGCGGAGCAGGGGATTGTTGCTCTGACGAGATTTTCCTCATCAAAGAGGAGATTGTCGTCTCTTGGGGAGGCTTTTACAATGCTCTTTGAACCTTTAATCCTCTGGTTCTTTTTCTACATATTTGCAATGGCCAGAAACTCCTTTTTATTGGAGATATCCGGTGTCGGCTGGGGAGGAGCTTCCTTCCTCTTAGGAAGTCGAGGAGCCTCTTCCCT